CAGCCGCCCAGCCCGCCGCCCTCGCCGCCTCCGCCCTCGCCGCCTCCGCGCTCGCCGCCGCTGCCGTCCCGTCCGCCGCCCTCGCCGCCCTCGCCCTCACCACCACAACCGAGCCCACCGCCGCCCCCGCCAAGCCCACCTCCCCGAAGCCGGAAGCCCGCAAATAGGTGAAGGCGGAGCGGGAGGCGGCGGCGGTGGGAATCTGCCGGTGGCGGCTTCGGTAGGGTATAGGCGGAGAGGAGTGTGAGGCGTGAGATGGAAGTGTAGCGCGATGGAGAGTTCGTCTCACTCGGTAACACTCGCTCTACTCGAGTACACTCGCTCGACGAAGGTTCTAACTATACAGTACCTCAGTAGCGACGAATGTTGATGCAGCGGCTGCAAGCCGGAGCTCAGGTGACAACGGTAAATGTTGTCTCTTTTTTTGCGAGCGTTGCGAAAGATTACACCGTTGCGGGGCGCTTTCCGTCTCACTCGTTCTGTCTCTGCTTCGGAACATGCATGACGCGTCCCAGACTATCGCATCAATCGGCAGCACCGAGCATCAGAGGCAGAGGTAGAGAGCATGTCGCAGGAGTCGCAGCCCACTGAGAACGACCTCGTCCGCCAGGCGACGCCATCCCCGCAATAGCTATGCACGGTGGGTGGCACTACAGCGCTTGGCTACTCGCGCCAACGAGGCCATATGGTTCTGGTCCCCATCGCGCCCCTCTGGCCGCCGCGGCCGCCGCGTGCGAGTTGACGGCCTGCCCCCTCTCTGCCCACAGAACGGGGCGGCTAATGACGTGCTCTTGGCGGAGCTCAAAGGCCTCAAGGACTCCTTCGATGCCGAACAGATCGACGAGGATCAGTTCAAGATGCTCCGCTCGGAGTGTGTCAAGAAGCACGCGGCAATCGGCCGCGCCCTCATGGAACAGGCCAAGCGCTCGGCGCGCGGGGGCGGTCCCCGGCGTGCCGCTCAGATGGAGGAGGACGACTCGGGACGCTTCCTCAACACCTTTACCTGGGGCCCCTACGGCATGGCCGTGCATGGCATGCCTGACGCCACGATTTCGGAGGGCGCGGCGATGATGCGCTCCACGCTCGGGGCCCCATCCTTCCCCCGCATGGGTACCCCCTAGTGCCCTCGCCTCCCCCCAGAGACACGCTTCTCAAAAATGGTGCTGCCTCAGATGCGGTTGGTCGTCTGATCCGTCAACGCTGCCCCGCCCGCCTCGCTTTCGCCGTCCGAGGCTGCAGAGGGTGCGGGGTCCGAGTCGCTGGCGGCCGCGGTTTCTAGCACCGGCGAGTTCTTTGGAGACTGCCCGGGCGTCGGCAGTGGAACCTGCGCTGTCTCCGTCGTGGCGCTGCTGGGTGGCCTTGGCACGATCGCGTGGAGGGCCTGCAGCATGACGGGGAGAGTGTAGACGCCGTAGAGGTAGGTGATGCAGACGCAGATGATTAGCGGCGGAAACACATAGGAGAGGACGAAGCCAAACCTGCAGCGCGTGGCGGGTGGCGGCTTGGCGTGGGCGGGAACCGTCTGATGGCTAGTTAGTCAGAGAGTCGGCCGGATCTCGGCCGGATCTCGACGCGCCTGCTCGCACAGAGCAACAGGATGCCGATGAGCGACGAGAGGAAGGCGAGCAGCGTGGGCACGAACAGCTGCGGAGGTGGTGAGATGGCAGTGAGCCATGTGCTATGCCCCGGCGCACACTCCGCTGCACGTGCGCTTGCTTCTCCGTGCCCCAGCAACATCTACCACCCTCTCGCCGTCTCCACTACGTCGCCCGCACCGAGCTCATTGCTGCATCGACACGCTCCCGTGCGGTAGAGGCTCCATTTGCGATGAAGTGGTGCGTGATGTGAACCGCGAATTCCGTCGCATAGCCAACTGCCATGAGCGACGACATCGCCGTGAGCCCGCTCAGCGGGACGCCCGCCCATCCCAGAAGGCCAACGACGGTGACCACCGAGGCGCTGATGGTGCTGGCGATGAAGACGGCGCCGGCCGCGGCGCCCTGCAGTGCCGCCGCAAAACCCCAGCCGAGGGATAGCAGCTCCGTGACCAGGAACGCCAGGGCAACGGCGACCGCTGCGAGGGAGGCGTACAGGATTGTCATGCGAAGGAAGTCCTCCACCGTCAGGTACTGCTCCCAGTAGTCATAAGCCACGCCTGTGGGTCTTAGGGGGGATGCGTCAAGGACGCATTTGCTCAGCCCTCGTGCTGTCGTGCGGAGCTGCTGCGGCTGCCGTCCATGAAACAGTGGAGCGGGCCGACAGGCAAGTCGTACGCGCCACCGCTGCGCACGGGCTCGATCGCTCCCGAGTAGTCGCACTTGTCCCTCGTGCTGCGGATCCTGTCGAGGTAGTCTTCCGTATCGCGCAGTCCGAGCGCATACGTGAAGGCCCCGCCGACCTGGGCGAACCTGCAGGGGGAGGGGGGAGGGGGGGCACGGCCGTTGCGAGATCCTGTTGAGCAACCTCGTTGCGCGCGCACCCACGCAAGGTTCGCGTGCCACGGGTGCGCCGGGTGTCTCAAAGCCTCACCGAATGGGCTTGGTCGAGATGCCCGGCGAATCCTGCTTGATTTTGGGATCAATGATAGCGTACCGCTGGTCGTTGGCCTGCCACAAGTCGACGCACATGCCGAATTCGTCTTGCGGCAGCGGGAACACGGGGCAAAATTCGTGGTGACCTGACGCCCGGTAGCTGGCGAGGCTAGCCGGGTGGCCTGCAGGGAGGCTGCGATAGGCTCCTATTGCCGCCGCATCGAGCTCGGCCGCATCGAGCTCGGCCCTTGCCGTGTCGTGGCACTCCGGGCAAGCTTGGGGAGGGCTGTCACTGCCACAGGAAGACGCGCACACCGTCGCGGTGAGGCCCGCGTCGACCATTGCTGAGTAGAGCTCGTGGGCCCGGTGGGCGATGACCGCGGCCGCCCGGACGACCTGGTTCTTCTGGACGGTCGTCATCGCTGCGACAGCTCTGGCGACACAAGTCTCAGCAGCGGCGCTGCTCGCGTTATAGTTTTGGCGGTGCCGGCTGCATGGGCGGGAGAGAGGGCTGGGGCGCGGAGCGGTTGCGCGCGATGGGCAACGGTGGGCGCGGCCGGTTCAAGAGCGGTGGCGCGGGCGCGCTCGGCGTGGCCGCTAGAGCGCGCGCACCGGTCAGCAGCATACTCGGAGTCCTGCGGGATCCATAGCCGCGCGACTTGATCCTCGATCTCGACGAGGGGGTTCCGTCACCACCTCCGCCGTCGCTACCACCGCCCACTCCTCCTCCGCCTTCGCCGCCGCCGCCCGCTCCGCCGCCGCCATCACCTCCACCGCCCGATTCGCCGCCGCCGCCGTCCCCTCCGCCTCCCCTCCCCCCGCCCTTCCCTCCCGAGCCCTCGCCGCCGCCGCCGCCGCCGCCGATGCCGAGCCCACCGCCGCCCCCACCTCCGCCTTCGCCCCCGCCCCCGCCGTCGCCGGTGCCGTCTTCACCGCCGCCGAACCCACCGTCCCCGCCTCCGCCGTGTGCGCGCGCGTGTAAGCTCTATGAGTGCATAGACGTGGACACCTCCGTCGACCCGCCCTCCGACTACACGCAGGCGCAACGCATAGAGGTGCTGGAGAGGCGGACGGGCTCGCCCGTGACACGTCCACCCCTGTCCTGCAGGCGGGGTACATTAGCATGCTGGAGCAGCGGCTCGACGATCTCGTGCAGAGCAACGA